GGGGAGAAATCCAACAAATAAAATATACTATTAACCTGATAATACAAGAGCAGGGACTATACAGATTCTTGATCTTCCAGGCTAAGCAGAGAATGCAAAGGCTAGATGCCACCAAAGAAGTTGTATGGCTACCAGAATTTCTATTTTCAGTCCTTTCTTCTTAATTATATAGAAAAAAGATTGTGAATAATGGAAATAATGTGTCTTTATTCATTCCCTGTAGAAGTAAATCAAGATTAAAGCAGTTGGGATTTTTCATCTAGTGAGAATGATTGGCTGTAGTGGAGGCCTTCATCTGTCTGTGGAGGTCATGATATTAAGTCTGTTCTCCTTTTTTACTAACCTAAGCCTTAACCAAATCACCAAACCATGATGCATTACAATTATTTACTTATTCATGTATTTAATACATTGACATGGCCACCCATCCCACATACATGACTTTGGGCAGCTAACAATTAAAACAAAATAAAAACAGGGTAAAAACACAACCAATAATTAAAAACATAAATAACATAAAATAACATAAATAGTAGCCAAGGACAACTGTAACATCTAAAATCAATGTAACCAAAAAGCAGACTCACCCATGCTATCAGGGCTCCAGGCCTGACAGCAAAGCCAAGTTTTTAATGCCTTGCAAAATACCAGCAATACCTTTAGACAACAAAATAAATATATCTAAAATAGAGTCAAAGAATACAAAATAGTTTCCTGCCCATATATATCCATAATTTATTATGATGTCCAATGTTTGAACCAGTTTGGTGAAGTGGTTAACACATCAGGCTAGAAACCGGGAGACTGTGACTTCTAGTCCTGCCTTAGGCACAAAGCCAGCTGGGTGACCTTGGGCCAGTCACTCTCTATCAGCCCTAGGAAGGAGGCAATAGCAAGCCACTTTCTGAAAATCTTGCCAGGAAAACTGCAGGGACTTGTCCAGGCAGTTGTCAGGAATCAACACTGATTCAAAGGTGGTGGTGGTGGTGGTGGTGGTGGTGGTTGTGGTGGTGGTGGTGATGATGATGATGATGATGATGATAACTACTACTGCTACTACTACTACTACTATTCTTACATTTCTAACAAGCAATATTTGAATTATGAAGCAAATAAGTAGATCATTGCTTTCTGTTGCTTGCTTAAAAACAAAAAATATCCTTTGCTTGTTTGAATGATTCTTCTTCTTTTAAGCATCCAATTGTGGTGTTGATTTGTCATTGCTCAGCCTGTTTAAAAACTCCACAGAACTAAGCAGAGATCGAAACTTTGTAACTCCCAAAATCTCTTGCCAGTATTTCTGCTGGTTGGGATTACAGACCCGAAGTGCCCACCACTAAAGTGATGCTTCTGTATAGCATCAGATTGTCTATTCTGAGCTAGAGTGAGAAAAGGGGGCAGCTCTGAATTTGCTTGGTAAAACATGTTAATAAGCTAAAATTTAAAATTTATTTTTGACATTATATCCCGTATTTCTGTTTGTTTAAATAATCAAAGCAGCTCACAACAGTTTTAAAACATGTAAAAAGTAAGCCATAACTGTAAAATTACTATAATTAAAATTTAAAAATTAAAATCAGTACCAATTATTAAATTATTATTAACATGAAAAGCCTAACATTTGCTTTTTAAAGCTTTTGTGCAGTTCTGTTCTTCTGTTTACCAACAGGTTTTAGTTAAGGTGATCCCAGTGTTTCTCATCTTTTTATTCTTGTTGCTTAGGTTGCTTCTATGTTTAATTTCTCTCTCTTCTTTAACAGGCACTGGTAAAGCTTCCACCTCACATCTCACAGTGTGATGAAGTCTTTCGGTTTTTTGAGACCCGACCAGAAGACCTAAACCCTCCTAAAGAGTAAGCTCCTGTTGATTTCTGTTGCTGTTCTATGTGAGGAAGGAAGGAAGCTAAAGGTCAATACATTTTATCACATCCAAAGGATGGAAGAGTTTTATTTTATCCTTTTACATCATAGGGAAATGGCTTTGTAATTTGACAAATATAAATGAGGAATATACGTGTGTTCATTGTGCAAGAAGAAAATTCAAAGAAACGTGGTGTCTGATTCATCATAGGTCAAAGGGAGAACTTTTCATGCTTTGGTGATTTGCAGAATCATTATTTGTTATATCCTGAGGGAAATCCTGCCAGTTAGCAATAAACTTTTAATTACCATCAACTTTCCTGGATGGATTCATGCTCAAAGATGGTATGCAAGACTTTGATTATGCTCCATGTCACAAGTAATTTCTGAAAAACTATTTTTTGGAAGCAGAAAGCAAAATCAGTCACAAGGAGAGAGCAGATCTTGCTGGGAGACAGCTCAGAGCTTCTGATCCCTATACTGCATATAGTATTTAGAGGTACATCCTTCAGGCTGTCAGCAATTTACACATTGCTCTTGCTGGGGATTCTGAAAGGTTTTACAAATAATTACATATATTATCTAGTTTACAGAAAGAAAATGATACATGGAGATTTCCTAAACCTCTATAGCAGGGGTAGAAAAAGTATAGCCTAGGAGCTGCATTCAGTCTATAAGACATCCCCTTTTCAGTCCCTGAATGTACCCAGAACATTGAGCTCAAAGGTTTTAGTCATTTTTTGGGAGGTTTGAGAAGAGTGGGGCATCAAAATGGGTGCCAAGCCTGGCAAACTCTTAAGGCAACCATTTTCCTCTTATAACTCCTCATCTCTTCCTCAGTGAATCCTGTCCCAACTACTTTTGGATTATGGTCCTTGATATATCATGCAAAACTGGTTTGGCATTGCCTAATAGCAATATATGGTAGTGCATGCCAAGATTGTATTTATTTATTTATTTACAGTATAGGGTGGCATACAACAATAAAAAGAGATTTGCAAAACTCCTCAGAAAACACAACTAAACACCAGTAGGGGCACACCAATATACGTTCCACCTTGTAGGACAAGCTACTCTGTCATCCTTGCCCCAACGCCCAAGGGAACGGCCAAGTCTTCAAGGCCTTCTGGAAGCATGTGGGGTTGGGGCAAGTCAGATCTCAGGGGAGATTATATTTTAGTCCAGAATACTTAAATAAAAATCAGCAGTCACCTACTTGTATCACCAAATCATTCTGCATATTATAACTGTAATTTTTGCAGTTAGTTATTTGGTTCATGCCGTTCTTCTAATTTTGTATGATAAATTTCAACTCTTGAACATTAAACCCACTTTAAAATGGAAAATGTATTTTGATGTTAACTACCATTAGCTATGCATAGATAGCAAATTAGTGAACAGATATAGAGAAATAACCTTGATATTATCTTCTTTGCTCAAATTGCAGTGATGAACTCTAAGTCTTTGGCCCTGGTTGGCTGGGCATAAATGCCTTGCCTAAGTAAAATAATAATCAGAAATCCACATATCCATGTGATTTTTCTCTAATGTGACATACTTCAAATTTTTGGGACTGCAACTCCCCAGATTCTCAGCCAGTATAGTGTTCTCTGTAACCAAGGTTTTTTATAATAAAGAATGCTTACTTATATTTGCTTGTCAGTAAAATAAATACTACTTCCAAAAGTTCATTTTTTGCTTATTAATCTGATCTCTGGTTTCTAACAATGTGATATAATTGCTAAAGATCTGAAAGACTTTGCTGTAGTACAAGACTGAAGTTATATTGATAGTCCAGTTGGGTAACCTTTGTTTTTCTCCAGGTCAGGAGGAAGATATCACCCCACTTGCTTAATAATATTTCTGTGTTATTATTTTTACAATGGAAGTAAAACACTTTCTCCAGTGCACCTATCATATCGAATCAATTACAGACTTTTTGCTTGGCCTTGGATATCTTTTCAGTCAAGCAATAATTTTTTTTTTTTTAAATGTATTTAGGAAGATGTAAATGACAGGTGCCCTTTTGCTTGACATGTGAAGAAGAGCTCCTTTAAAGAAGGTTGTTACTGTAGTACTCACATAATATAATATGAAGAAAGTATGTATTAATCATATGTAAGCTTATGTAAAAATATTGGGCTAATAGATGAATTATTTAAACTCATACAATTAATTAACCAAGATTTCTATTGATAGCTCTATTTTGTGTGTGCATCTGTGTATATATATGCATGAGTGGGTAGTTGTTATCATCATTATCATCATCATCCTGAATCAGTCCATTGCAGAATGAAGGCTTCTTCTTCGAAGGTTATGGACTGTAATCTATTTTGCTGATCCAACACTGATTGGTTGATGGATGTTTTTCAGCTTCCTAGTCTAGAGCTCAGAGAGATTGACTGGCCCAGAGTCACCCAACCAGCTTCCATTCGTAAAGGAGGACTAGGACTTGTGTATCCCCACTTCTACTCTGTTTCAAATAAGAACTTGTTCTTTAAATCAGTCAGAAATTCCCAGACAATATGGCTATTGGCTGTGCTGGTTTGATAGTTTGGGGTCTGTGTTCTCACCACATCTTGAGGTCTGTTGGTTGGTGAAGGCTCTTTTAAAGAGTACTGTATAAGATCAACTATATAAACAAATGGTAGATAACTACCTTTTGGTCTGCACTGAGTGTCTTGAAAAGTGCTTGATAAAATCACTGCTACACCATCTGTCTTTCAGCCTGTCTGCACTGATGGCTTTGATGCACTCTGTCTTTAGAAATACAAACAGCAGATCAAATAACCTCATGTTTTGACTCAAAACGACAGGCAGCTTATTGAATTATCAAGGCTTCTGATTTAATTGAAATTTCAGAGATAACCTGAGACCTTCCTGTAAGAACAAAGGTTCAGCTACCAGAGGAATTGCCATTAGAAGTGCGATCGTGTAAGAGAAGGAACAGTTCTTAGAGGGCTGATGATTGAGAGAATGGCCATGGCAGTGAGTGAAGCAGTCAACCCCAACGGGAGTTAAGGAGGGGAAGGTCAGGAGGCAGACGGATCAGTGAGGTGTTCAGGTTACTAAAGAACAGGGTAAGAACGGTAAGGGTAGCTAGTGTTTTATGTAGAATATTTTAAAATCTTAAGAAGTGTTAAATAAAAGGCCATTTGGAATCTGTGATGAACTCGTGGCCTATTCAATATAGAACTCTTCAGTATTGCATTTCTAACTGAAATACATTTACTCTGTAGAGATACTACTCAGAAATTAGAGTGCCAAGGTTCAAACCCTTCTGATTTATTTTCAGTTGTGGTTATATAATGACATTGAAGTTCTAACCTAAGCCAATGAGAGACAGCTAAGATATGTATCACACCCTGAAAGGCTTCAGCATCCTTCCTGGAAGGTCAGCTTTAGAGCAGTGTGACAAACCTCAGGATATTACATATGACCAATTGCATTTGCTTTTAATTACAGTCTGAAAAATCATCAACCTACCAGTGGAAGCTACTTACTAGTGTTCTGATCTTTAAAAGGAAATTGTAGGCTTAAAGTTAGAATCAAAAACAAATATTTGTTGGATTGCTGGGGGCAGAGAAGAACTCAAATATCTTGGAGGAAAGAATGACATATTGGAAAGTAGAGTCAGTAGCTTAAAAGTTCGTAAAAACTATCTTTCCAAGAGACAGCACTGTTGTGCTGACAAAATGGTCATGAATGATCATATGTGTGAGTTCTCATTTGATGCGACTATCATATATATATGTTAGTGTACGGCTAAAAAGTGATTGTTTGTGGATCAGGTGGTATGAATCTGTGTCATTGGATTAATTCTATAAAATATGTTTCAGTTAACTGGAGATTAACTGTAACTTTTTATTTTTTTAATTTTTAACTGTTAAGGTTAATGTTGTACAGATATGGCCATTAGGATACACTACATTTATTCAAAATAGGTAGTACGTGATAAAGAGTGCTTGCAGTTAATTGATCCTACTCCTTTGTCAAATCCCGTTAACTACTTAAGGCTTCTTACTTTTTTTAAGCCATTTTTTTCCTTTTCTGTGTCTTTCTCTGGCACATATGCATTACAACCCTAAGAACTGACAAGCTGTTCTTTCTTTCCAATAAACTCTGGCAATTATAGTTCTGGGGTTAAAGATCTCAGTACTCAGCAAATGATGTTACCCTTGAGATTTCAGGAAAGCAGCATTGCCATCACTTTCTTCTGGCACCATTCACTCAGTTAAAAGACTTAGGGAAGAGATGGAGAGGTTCACCTTTTTGTTGTACTTGTGGAAATCGCTAAAATTTCACAACTTCAACTGGCCATGAATTGTCCTTTAGAGTAATGTCCTTAACATTCTACTAAATCCTAGTATTATGTACTATAAATATTAATGCAGATTAAAAACACACTTTGGGTATGCATAGAGGAAATGCATTGCAAACACTCTCCTTCCTACTTTTTTCAACTAATTCTGGCATAATAAAATGTTGGGTAATAAGGTCAATATTGTGCTGTGAATGTTAAATTGATACTTGGGTATGAATGTTGAATATAAACGCATACATATGCACCTTTGCAAGTGTGCGCAAGCTTTGCCATCAATCTGTTATTTTCACCTGCTGAGTGGAGAGACTCTCACAGCACAGCTGAACCCCAGTCCTGAAGCTGCCTTTAGACAGCCCAGAAGCATAAAAGAAAAGCTTCCGCTGTTCTTGAAACCCTTTCAGTAGATAAACTGAGCCCTTGTTTTTCAGGCTGTGATGGTACTGATGTAGTTGCCATTTGTTGTTCTCAGAAGAGTCATGAAAACTGAAAAATAGATTGGGAAATTAAGTCCAAGAAGATGATGTCCTCCTAGGTACTCTTTTACCTTATGACTGCTGTACTGATCTTGTAAATTTTGATGGAGAGGGTTTTTTCTTAATGTAGGAATCTCCCCTGAGAAACGGAGGTATGCCAGTGGCAACAGCTATCAGTCCTGACTAATCTAAAAAG